TAAAAACATAATATTCAATAAAGATGTTACTTTACCACTAAAACTCAAAGCACAATTTTAAACTGATCTTTACTTTGATGATTTTAAACTCAGAATCCTACATAAAAGAGTATCTTTGGAAAATAATATAACCACCTATATTTTCAAATAGATTTGCACATTACTGTTTGAAATTTTGAAAAACACTGCCCTGACAAAACTTACTGTGCTCCAGTGATGAACAAGATTCTGATTCTGTACATACTGCAGTTCTCATAGTAGGAGCAGAAGAGAAAATGAAAAAACAGAAGAAGGAAGATGAGAACAAAAATAAGGGTGAGGAAGAGGAAGGATGAGGAAAGAAGAAAAGGAAGAAGGAGGAAAGGAAGAGGTAAAGGAAGAAGAAAAGGAATAAGTGGAAGAAGAAGTGGAGAAGTAGGAAGAAGAAAAGAGGCAGGAGAATGAGAATCTACTATGATAGTCTAACTTCAGATAACCATTTGGAATTCTGTTCACAGATCTTTGGAATACCTCCAAGTTTTTCTGAGTACTTGATTTACATCACTCTACTAGACCCTACTTGGGGTCAGAACCCACCCCCCCTCAAAAAAACTAAGTCGTCTCTGTCCCTAAATATAGACACTACCACTAGAGAGCAGACTCTATACAATAAGTTAGGGCTGGCCTCATTAGGAGTACGAAGTTCAACTTACCAAGAGTGGAAATAGAACTAATATTTGTTGTATGCCTACTAGGTTTCTGACCTTATGTTAAGTGCTTTACATATATTTTGTTACTTGCATTATTATCACAAAATTATTTTTATTTTATTGATACATAATTTTACATAGTTATAAAGTATTTGGGATATTTCGATCCATGCATACATTGTATAATGAGCAAATCATGGTTATGGTCCATCCATTACCTCAAATATTTATCATTTCTTTGTACTGAGAACATTCCACATCTTCTCTATTAGTGATCTTGATATATACAATAAATTATTGATAACTGTCACCCTATTGTACTATTGAAGACTAGAATTTATTCCATCTAACTGTATTTTTGTACCCATTAACTAACCTCTCTCTATCATGCTCTCCCCTTACCCTTCCCAACCTCTGATAATCATCACATTTTTAGCTCCCACATAAAGAGTGAGAACATGCAATATTTGCTTTTCTGTGCCTGGCTCATTTCATATTATCATAATATTATCATAGCTATTTCCAGATTGGAAAACTGTGACTTGAAGAGGTTAAGTAACATTCCCATTGTTGCACCCAAGTAAACAGTAGCTCAGAATTTAATCCTGCTTGGCTCTTTAAAAAAAAATAGTTTAAGTTCTAGAATACAAGTGCAGAACGTGTACAGGTATACATGTGCCATGATGGTTTGCTACACCCATCAACCCATCATCTACATTAGGTATTTATCCTAATGCTATCCCTCCCCTAGCTCCCCATCCCCCCACAATCCCCAGTGTGTGATGTTCCTCTCCCTGTGTCCATGTGTTCTCGTTGTTCACTTCCCACTTATGAGTGTTTGGTTTTCTATTCCTGTGTTAGATTGCTGAGAATGATGGTTTCCAGCTTCATCCATGTCCCTGCAAAGGGGATGAACTCATTCTTTTTATGGCTTCATACTATTCCATGGTATATATATGCCACATTTTCTTTATCCTGTCTATCACTGATAAGTATTTGGATTGGTTCCAAGTCTTTGCTATTGGGAAAAGTGCTGAAATAAACATACATGTGAATCTCTTTTTGGTAGAATGATTTATAATTCTTTGGGTATATACCCAGTAATGGGATTGCTGGGTCAAATGGCATTTCTGGTTCTAGATCATTGAGGAATCACCACACTATCTTCCACAATGGTTGAACTAATTTACACTGCCACCAGCAGTGTAAAAGCGTTCCTATTTCTCTACATTCTCTCCAGCATCCATTGTTTCCTGACTTTTTAATGATCGCTATTCTAACTGGCATGGAATGGTATCTCATTGCGGTTTTGATTTGCATTTCTTTAATGACCAGTGATGAACTTTTCTCATATGTTTGCTGGTTGCATAAATGTCTTCTTTCGAGAAGTGTCTGCTCATATCAATTTTGCCCACTTTTTGATGGAGTTGGGAAAACTGGCTAGCCATATGCAGAAAACTGAAACTGGATCTCTTCCTTAAAACTTATATAAAAATTAATTCAAGATGGATTAAAGACTTAAACATAAGACCTAAAACCATAAAAACCCTAAAAGAAAACCTAGGCAGTATCATTCAGGACATAGGCATGGGCAAAGGCTTCATGACTAAAACAACAAAAGCAATTGCAACAAAAGCCAAAATTGACAAATGGAATCTAATCAATCTAAAGGGCTTCTGTGCAGCGAAAGAAACTATCATCGGAGTGAACAGGTAACCTACAGAATGGGAGAAAATTTTTGCAAAGGGTAATGGAACAGAGGACTAATATCTAGAATCTACAAGGAACTTACATTTACAAGAAAAAAACTGCTTGACTCTTTCTATGTTTATCTCCTACCTCACTGCCCTACATGTGTATGGTGTTTCTCAAGCTTCCCTTCCTCCCACTTCTCTTTGAGGAGAAGAGCTATTGTGGGCAGGACTAAAGTCAGTGCAACTGGACTACGGAATTTTGGAGTGAAGTTCTCAGTATAGGTCAAAGTCTCTTGTGTCTACTTTGCTTGCTGCCTTGGATTCCTTGCTTTAGCCACCCCTCCTTGGCTTCTCACTTGCTCAGACTTAAGTACGGTATGAGTAAAACTATTTGAGGAGAGGGATAGCCATGTGTGCTATTGTCCATGGTCCTGAAACATCATGCACATTATAGATTGCTTCCCTAGGAAGTAGATATGACTATGGACCTGGGATAGGGACACCAAACCTAGCAGAACCAGATGTGATCCAAGGAAACTGAAGCACAGAGTTGATGGTTTAAACAGTACTGTCAAATAGAACTTTCTGCAATGACAGCAATGTTCTAATTCTGCACTATCTAATACAGTAGCTACTAGCTATGTGTGGCTATTAGGCTCTTGAAATTTGATAAGTAGACAACTAATTGTTTAAGTTTATTTAACTTTAGCCAATTTATATTGAAATAACTACATGTGTACCATATTGGACAGCACAGGTTGGGTCATGAATATTAAGCTGTTTACTGAAAACACAAATTATTGGGCACCATGTAAGATATACTAAAATCAGAATCTCTTGGGTAAGCTCAGGTATGTGCACTTTTAAGCAGGAAGTTTCTGTGCTTCTTGATATTTGAGAACAACTATCCTACCAGGCATTTGTGTCCACCTTCTAAAAGTTCCTACCTGTGCCCACTAATGCCTTCTACTTTTACCTCATCCTCAGGTTCAGTCCAACTCAGCATGTTTAATAGCCTGAGCCACACTGTCAGCATTGTCTTCAAACCTCAGACCCAGTGGCTAAGGATAGTTACAAAGCTTCCACAACCTCCCCTTGAATTCTGAGATTCCTTAAAGGCCAACTTTAAGGGCATTCATGACAGGTAAAGTCTACACACCTAACTAACATTACGCTAAGCACAGTCCTCCCAAATTCATATACTATTGGTCCTTCTCTTCCTGCATTTTTTTCTAGTCCAAAGAAATAGGCTCTTGCCTTGGTCTCTGCCTTCTTAAGATTCCTGTCCTCACCTTAATCCCCTCTGGTTCTAGGGTTAGTTCCCACTTCTCTGCCTCAGATGGATCCTCATCTCCATAATCTCCCTCCATGGTCAAGATGTGTGAAAAGCTGTCATGAATTCTACCCTTCAGACTTTCAAATTAAGTCACCTAGACTGAGCCTCTATGTTCTGAGGAATGACCAGTTTTCACCATTAATTTGGTAAATTTTTGAAACACTGATCCTCAGACTCCCGGTTCTGTGTAGCTGAGTCCATTTCTCCAAGCTTCACAACTCTTCCCCTCCCAGCTAATCCCATTACACAGGTTCCAGCATGCTATACTTGAGTGCACCTGAGTTAAAAATTTTAATGTAATTATGACAGCCAGAGGTAAAAGATTATTTCCAGGCCTGTAAATTCAATGTCTATTAAAGTTTTCAGGCACATGCCTCCCCATCACCATTCCCCAACTGCCAGCACCCATACACATGCAGACACACACCAACAACATTTACACTGATATAACACTTCAAAAATAATTTCCCATGTATTGTCACATTTGACTGACAGAGTGTATATATTATTACACTAATGGTCCCTCATAAATGAAGCCTCTACCCTCAGCACCATTCCTTCTTTCATGGACCCTGGGCTTGGTCATGTGACTTGCTTTAACAAGATATCAGCAAATGTGACACAAGGAGAGGCTAGGCAAACACTTGCACATTGGGATTGGCCTTCATGAAATCATTGTCATTTTCATGTAAGAAACCTGGTTTCCACTGCAGAAGCAGCCACATAGAGAACTGAGGTATTCTGCTGACAGTCCCAGTTGGCTGCCATGTGAGAGTAAGGCCAGCTTGGATCATCCAACTCTAGTCAAACCCCTGGATTGCTATGTCTGTATGAGAGGCCCCAGGAAAGATCAACAAAAGAACTACCCAGCTTAACCCAGCCCAAATGTAAGCAAATAATTATTGTGTTTTAAGCCATCAAGTTTTGAGATGGTCTATTATTTAGCACCAGTTAACTGATATATAAAATGATTCTGAGAGATAGTATTATTATTCCTATTCATGAGTTAGGAATATGAAGTTCAGAGAGATTAGGAAATTTATCCAAGATCCTAGAGCCAGAAAGCAGCAAAAAGAGGCCCAGAACTTCAGTCTGTCCCGAAGTTCAGTATTTCTGCACTATACTAGGCTGCATCTACACAACCTCCACTCAATTAGTAAAAGGTCACTGATAATCCTAGTCCTCCCAGATCCCATTTGCTGACCTAGTTACCAACCTCCAGCACCCCTTTATTGAGAAAGAATGTCCTCCCAGCGCCTTCCTGGCCTGCTAGTGAGTTCACCTTGTTACTTTCCTTCTGTAAAAACTAAAGCCAGGAATCATTTTAAGTGAATCGATTGAATACAGCTAGTGGAAACATAAAAAGGTAAGAATTATTTTATATTAAAAATGAATATTCTGATTCACATCTTGATTTAGAGCATCATAATGGAGAAAAAAATGGAAGCATATGGTCTGGAGGAAAATATAAGAATTATCAAAGGATTAAGAGAAGTTAATCATTAGTCAAAAACAGATTTTAGAATTAAAGTTCTTATTCATAGAAAACATTATTGTTTATGCTAATTCCTAACTAAGAAATGAAAGTGATTCAAATGACAAAACTGTGAAAACATGCTAGAAAACTGGATAAAAAATGTAAATGGAAATCTCAGGTAAAATACAAAGAATAAGGCTCTGCCTGATGTACAATGAAAAATGTCACCCTTCAAGAATGACTTGTATAGAAATTATCAAAAGAAAAAGAAAATGTGAACAGGTTATCCCTTATTTTTTCCCCAAATTTTTAATCACATCATCATAACCATTGGGATAATTCATAAATTTTATTCTAGATGAAGCAAATGGTTTGAAAAAGCCCCTGCTTTTCAGCTAGAAGTATGTTTACTTTGCTATGAACAAAAAGCAAGTTAACCAGTCTTGCAAGTTTTTTTTTTTTTTTTTTTTTTTGAGACGGAGTTTCGCTCTTGTTACCCAAGCTGGAGTGCAATGGCGCGATCTCAGCTCACCGCAACCTCCGCCTCCTGGGTTGAAGCAATTCTCCTGCCTCAGCCTCCTGAGTAGCTGGGATTACAGGCACGCACCACCATGCCCAGCTAATTTTTCGTATTTTTAGTAGAGACGGGGTTTCACCATGTTGACCAGGATGGTCTCGATCTCTTGACCTCGTGATCCACCCGCCTCGGCCTCCCAAAGTGCTGGGATTACAGGCGTGAGCCACCGCGCCCGGCCAGTCTTGCAAGTTTTTGACTTGAGAGCCCAAAACAATTTTAAAACTAAAATCTTCATATCAAAATGTTATTTTGCAGATGGCAGTTAAACAGTAAGAAAGCATCTGGCATAAATTAAGTGAACAGATTTCCAAACCATTTGAAAAACAAGTAAGTCTCAATTCAACAATCTAAAGTCATGAAAACTGACTTGTCCACAGAGTTTGAATGACAGAGTAGGTAAAACACATGAACTCATACACAAGCTTTCTCTGAACAAATTAATTCGCTTTCCTGCAGCCCTCTGTCCATGCCATAGACAGCAGTCACATAAGTGAATCAAGCAGCTGTGCTTAGCCTTGCTCAGTGATGGTTTCAGGAGAACTTGTGTGCCCACATAATTTCCTAGGAAGAAAAACAGCATGGGATAGTGGGAGGATGCTGCTGCCTTTAACCCATCATTTAACCTCTGTGTGGCTCGCTGCTCTTATCTGTACAAGGCGGGTAGAAAACCCCATGCTTCCTACTTCACAGAGTTGTAAGCATAAAGGATGTAAACAGACTTTGAAAAAGTTAAAAGAGCTGTGCAAATACAAGGTGCTTTATACCTGAAGAAGAGCCTAAAAAGGCAGGATCTGTGATGTAGCAGCAGCAATTCTCCCAGCCACAAGGCTGCTGGTGATGTCCCACATGTAAGCAAAGGCATTTTAAAACATAAAGACTTAACAGGGAGCAGAAATGAAGAGACATGCTATTTGCAAAAATGACTGTGTTTAGTCTGGGGTCTTCACATAAGAAAATAATATTGCCGGGTGCAGTGGCTCAAGCCTGTAATCCCAGCACTTTGGGAGGCCGAGGTGGGTGGATCACGAGGTCGAGAGATCGAGACCATCCTGGTCAACATGGTGAAACCCCATCTCTACTCAAAATACAAAAAATTAGCTGGGCATGGTGGCTCGTGCCTGTAATCCCAGCTACTCAGGAGGCTGAGGCAGGAGAATTGCCTGAACCCAAGAGGCGGAGGTTGCGGTGAGCCGAGATCACGCCATTGCACTCCAGCCTGGGTAACAAGAGCGAAACTCCGTCTCAAAAAAGAAAATAATATTTTGAGAAATTGTCATGTTAAATTTAAGCTGCTCTTGGGTAACTTCAAACTATGAAATTTGTATATATTCCATGAGTAACCATCCTAGAAGAATTCCTCGAATTCTCTTTCATGACAATAATCTTGCAAAATTTAACTTAGCTCCATTTACAAAGACTTAGGCACAAGGTTAACAATAATGAATCAATAATTTTTTCATATACTTTTTTAATAATGATTCTCTGTCTTCTGCAAAGGCTTCTAAATTCTGTTTACATATAAACCACATATATTTCCCCCAAACAATTATATCTCCATACATAATTTCGTCTGCACTAACACTGAAAAAAGGAGCGCTCCATAGTCCAGCCAGTGTATTCTATTCAATTCAACAGATGGGGCTGGACACAATGACTCATACCTATAATTCCAACACTTTAAGAGGCAGGGGAGAGAGGATCACTTGAAGTCAGGAATTCAAGATCAGGCTAGACAACATAGAAAGACCCTCATATCTACAGGAAAAAAAATTTTTTTAATAGCTGGGCACCTATAGTGTGCACCTGTAGTCCAGCTGCCTGGGAGGCTGAGGTGGGAAGATCGCTTGAGCCCAGGAGTTTGAGGCTGCAGGGAGCTATGATCATGCCACTGCACTCCAGCCTAGGTGAGAGAGCAAAATCCTGTCTCCAAAAAATAAATAAATAGATGGTTTTAAAAATTATATCTGGTGCTTTTCTTGTACCTACAGCACATGTATTTGGCACTGGTTTTGGCATTTGGAGGGAACACACTTAAAAGTAAGAGTCTGCATCCAAGAAACTTACATTCTGAGAGAGAAGATAAGAAAATTAAGGTAAATAACAATGGCAGGGAGAATAGAAAGATGTGGGAGGGTTGCTTGAGCCCAGGAGCTCCAGGCTGCAGTGAGCTAAGATCATGCCACTGCACCCCAGCCTGGACAACAGAATGAGAAGCTGTGTCTTAAAAAAAAATACTGATTGGGTACTGCTTTGTTCTTTTTCTTACATATTTACAATATTTGTGCTTGCTATAATTATTATCCCTACAGTTATTACTAACCCTAGCCCTAACCCCATCAAAAGCATTACCAGACATTTCAGTTTCTGGTTGTCAATTGCTAACTAGTTATTAGTAAAGTTTTCACCAATATAATTTCAAATTGATATCTGGACTTCTGTTTCCATCAGTATGATAAATAAAGTATCTGCTTAGTCCTCCTGCAGAAAACAAATTAAAATACTGAGTAAAATACAATAAAAAGATTTTAATACATTAGTTACCTCTCTAATTAGTAAAGGGAACTCAATGAAAGTAGACCTGAAGCGATAATCAAAGAAATAAAGCCATCTTGTGCCATGCAGATCATTTTTCAAACTGAATGTACTTCATCTTTGTGTTTTCCAGCTCTGTAAAGCTATAGAATAGTGAAAATACAGCCCAAGATTCACTCAAGATCTTCCTTTATAAAACTGAGACTGCAAAGGGCCACACCTCCACATAACAGTGAAGTGGGAAAACATTCTACCACCCAAGCCACCAAAACCAAGATTGCCTAATTAGAAATTTAGCATTGGAAAGAGTGGGACTTGTCTCTAAAGATATGAACCATAAGTCAGTCTTCTTGCAGTTTTGCATGCCAAATTCACACTTCTTGGCCAAGAAATCTCAAGCCAGTAAGTCAGTTAAAGTTGTCCTGGGCTGGTAGTTCCTCCAGGTTCCTGGCAGAAATAAATTCAATCCTCTTTGGAATATTAGTTTTATCACAATCTGAAAGAATTCATTCAAAATAGTTCACAAAACTATAATGCCACAGTAAACACTGTATTTGTCTGTTCTCATGCTGCTAATAAAGACATACTCAATACTGGGTAGTTTGTAAAGAAAAGAGGTTTAATGAACTCACAATTCCACATTGCTAGGGAAGCCTCACAAACATGGCAGAAGAGCAAGGGATGTCTACATGGCAGCAGGCAAGATGAGAGCATGCACAGGGGAGCTCCTCTTTATAAAACCATCAGATCTCGTGAGACTTACTCACTATCACGAGAACACCATGGCAAAGACCCAGCCCCATGATTGAATTACCACCCCTCAGTTCCCTTCCACAACACCTAGGAATTGTGAGAGCTACAATTCAAGATGAAATTTGGGCGAGGACACAGCCAAACACACACACACACACACACACACACACACACACACACACACAGAGAGAGAGAGAGAGAGAGAGAGAGAGAGAGAGAGAGAGAGAAAAAACAGTACCAAGAGCAAAAGCCAATAGAATGGACCTTTTTAAAAATGTCTAAAAGGCTATATGTCTAGATAACTTTAAAAGTGAGTTAAAATACAAAAAAAGGGAAAGACACCACAGAAATGAAGCCGATTTAAAAAAAAACAAATTCTAAAAATTAAAAAATACAATAAAGTTTAAAACTCAATAGATGAGAAAAGCTGACATGTGAAATTGAAAGATAGATCCAAATAAATCACCCAGAATGCAGCATAGAATGATCACGATACAAATTATAAAACAGAGATGGAAAGACATGTCAAAGAGCTCTAAAAGGACAATAGAAAAAAAGGATAAGTGAAATAATATTTGGATTGATGGTTACTGAAAATTTTTCAGAAATAATAGAACACTTCTCCACAGGTTGAAGAAGTCCAGTGAATTCCAAGCTTAACAATAAAAAGAAACTCATGGCTACACACATCACATGGAAGCTATAAATAACAAAGACAAGGGAAATATCTGAAAAACAGCCAGAGAGAAAAGACAACTAAACTTTAGCTGAAGAACAGAGACAGACACAGTAAAGGCCAGAAGAATGCAGAGCAATATATTCAAAGGGCTGAGGAAAAAAAAATAGCTGATAGCCTAGAATTGTACACACTGTGAAACATGTTTCAAAAAATGGGACAAAGAAAAATATTTTTAAACAAATATATCCTAATAGACTGCTACCGATAGATAGTAAGGGAATTTCTAAAGAACATATTTTATGCAGAAGAAAATTGTTCCCAGATGAAAGATCTGAGATGCAAAAAGAAATTATCAATTAAAAAACATTAAGTATATAGATAAAACTAAATAAACATGGAGAGAAATATATGGATAAAATAAAAATAGAGACAAAATAATAATATTATTATCTGGTGGGATTAAAACAAAGATAAAATAAACCTAAAATGCATGACAAAAATAATACATTTCAGGAATGAAATAATTAGAGTTCACACATTTTAAGATAATTGTATTGCTAGAGACGAGGGTGACAATATGATTGACTTTAGCACTTGAAAAGCCAAATATGTTTGCTAAAATGTGTAGGATAACAATTAAAAGAATAGAAACAAAGTATGTAGCTTCTAAATTGCTAAAAAAGGAAAATAGAATGGATGAAAAACAAATAATCCAAAAGAATGCAAGAAAAAAAAATGACGAAGAAAACAAAAAGGTAGGACAAATAAAAAGCCCAAGACAAGATGGTAGAAATAAATCCAAACATATTAATAACTACAAAAATAAATGTAAATGGATGAAATATCTAAGTGGGAGAAACATATTTTTCAACTAGCATGGGGAGAAATGCCAGATATAGGTGAAGGGGAGGAAGGCAGCAAACCACACTGCCATGTGTGTACCTATGCAACAATCTTGCATGTTCTTCACATGTACCCCAAAACCTAAAATGCAATTAAAAAAAAAACCTGCCTAGACTGTTTAAAAAATTTAAAGGATTTTTTTACATATTCATGAAATAAATGAATATCTACAAGATAGCCACAAAAGGGTATATAAAAAAGAAATGGCCTGTACCCTTCATAAATATTAATAACATGAAAGAAAGACTGAGCATATGTTCCTGGTCAAAGAGACTAAAGAAATACGGCAAGTAAATGCAATACTGAGTTATGAATTGGATCCAGGACCAGAAAAAATATTTTTCCTTTGAAATATAGGCTATTAGAGAGCCAATGGTGATATTTAGATGAAGTCTGAGTATTAGATAATAGTACTAGATCAGCATTAGTTTCCTGATAGTGCCTTGCCATGCCATGAGAAGCACATGCCCTTTCTAGTCTACTGATCCAAGAAGGGTGAGAGACATGTACAGTTGCCCCAGTACAGCCACATGCATGTAGTAAGAGGGTGAGGTGCACCTGCTTCCACAGCCTGAAACAAAGCCACCAGCCTAGATCAGCCAGCACCCAGATGACTCAAGATTTCTGGGAATAAATACTGATGTACATGACATTGAGATTCGGGGTTGTCTGTTTTGCTGCAATAAGTAACAGATACAGATGAAGTTAGATTATTCCAGGAAGAAAAATTATTTTAACCATAGAAGAATCAACTGTGGCCAGTTGCAGTGGCTCATGCCTGTAATCCTAAAACTTTGGGAGGTGGAGGAGGGCAAATTGCCTGAGCTCAGGAGTTCGAGACCAGCCTGGGCAACATGGCAAAAGCCTGTCTCTACTTAAAAAAAAAAAAAAATTAGCCAGGCATGGTGGCATATACCCCTAGCCCCAGCTACTTGGGAGGCTGAGGCATGAGAATTATTTGAACCTGGGAGGCAAAGGTTGCAGTGAGCCAAGATTGCGCCACTGCACTCCAGCCTAGGCAACAGAGTCAGACTCCATCTTAAAAAAAAAAAAAAAAAGGAAAAAGAAAAGAAACCAGAAACCTATTGGCATAATTCACAATATTATTAGAGTAAAAGAAACAATGTGAGCATCTCAGTCGGCACTGAAAAATATCATTTGATAACATTTAACATTCATTTGTGATGGTTAAAAAAAAGTAGGACTAGGAGAGCTTGTTCCAACAGATGTGTACCTATTATGAAACTATAGCAAATCACATTCATATGGTTTGGCTGTTCCCACACAACCAAATTTCATCTTGAATTGTAGCTCCCATAATTCCCATGTGTTCTAGGAGGGACCTAGTGAGAGATAATTGAATCATGGGGCAGTTTTCCCCATTCTATTCTGGTGGTAGTGAATAGTCTCACAAGATCTGATGGTTTTATAAGGGAAAACCCTTTTCTGTTGCTTCTCATTCTCTCTTGTCTGCCACCATGTAAGATGTGTCTTTTGCCTTCTGTCACGAGTATTAGGCCTGCCAGCCATGTACAACTGTGAATCCATTAAACCTCTTTTTCTTTATAAATGACCCAGTCTTAGATACGTTTTTATCAGCAGTATGAAAACAGACTAATACAAAGATGATGTAGTATTTGCACAAAAATAGCCAAATAGAAAAAATGAGAGAGTCCAGAAAGGATACACTAATACAGAGACAATTTATAATGAAGAAAGGTAGTATGGCAGTTTAATTAGGAAAAGACAAGTGGGTCTTCAATAAATGGAACAGTAAGTTATTCAAATGAAAAATATTAAATTGTACCTCTATATCACAGGATATGTAAGATTCAATTCCAGATGGATTAAAGATCTAAATATAAAGATCTAAATGTAGCAAGAAAAAAACCATAAAATCATTCAAATAACAAAGGAGAATATATTTATGACTCAGGATAGAGAAGTATTCCTTAAACAAGATGTAAAAAGTAGAAACTCTAACAATAGAGATTGATAAATTATGCTACATTAAATAAGAACTTCCGTTCATGAAAGACACCATAAGAAAATGAAAGCAGCCACAGAGCAGGAAAAGGTATTTGCGAAGGACTAGTATCCAAAATATACAAAGCACTAGAGTTGACAGGAAGAATAATCAGGATAAGAAAAATTCCAACGAGCAATATGGAGACTAATAGCTTTAAGTTTTATGAGAACTGTGGAATTGCTGAACTCAGTGTTCTTTAGAGATCATCACGCTAACTACTCAATCTCTTTCTTTCACAGCTGAACACGCCAAGACCCAAGGAGCCCAGGGCAGGCTGTGCAGCACACCCTGTGCCCCAACCACACTGCTTCCTCTTCTGAATGTCTGCACCCCCAAGTTTGGTTCATTTTGAGCTTCAGGTGTGGTCTCATTTCTTTGGCACTCCTCTCCAATCAAAAGATCTCAGTTTCAAAAAACTGTGAGCATATTCAATGATTAAAAAGTCTGTTTGACAATAATCTGCAAATTTGCCACATAAAGCATGAACTTTGCTTCATAAAGCTTAATTCCAGCTGCTGAAAGTTGTCCTGCCCTTTCTTTATGGGGTCTCCAAAGAGAAGCTTGTTTTATGTCACATTATTTTCTCCCCTCTTTATGGGCCAGATTCAATTAGTCACTACTTGGCTATTGAACACTTTTTGCAAATTAAAGAGAAAGTCACCTCAGGCAACTTAAAAATAGAGGCTTATTGGGAACTTGATGATACTGCAACTCATTAAAGAACTTAGGTCCTATACCCCTGACCTCACTGATCAAATAGAGGCCACTGCTTTGAAGCCAGCAAGGACCCATGGGACTGACCTAATGCTTCTTGCCTTCAGCTTCTGGAGCTTATCACATTACTAATGTTTGAGTCTCTAATCCAGCTGGCTAGTTTAATCATCTTGAAGTAAAATAATACTATTAACACTGTTAGAAATGATTTATCCTTCTCTGTGCTGTTACCCTCTGCTTGATTCATTCATTTTACTTATAATTTTGCAATTACAAGTTTTCTTCTCAGAATCCTTCTCTTTCTCATTGTTCAAAGTAAAGACTATATCATCCTCTTTCTTTTACAATAATCTGTTGCTATGAAAATAGAAGTTCCAAACAGAGATTAATGATCCAGGGATAATAAAGAAAGAAAAAAGATATTCTCTAAGAGAAAATTTGTTTCCAAATGTATTTTAAATTAATCTGTCATATAAAATTATACAATTATTGGTTAGCACAGTGCAACTAGAAAGGTGCTAGGTCTTAATCAAAACAGAGAAGTAAAGACCATAAGACTGTATTCTAGCTAAGGAAATAAGATGTATGACACAATGTACAAGCAATACGGTACTGTTCATATATAATTCTGGTGCAAAAATTTGTGTTTGACTGCATGTTCTCACTCTTAAGTGAGAACAACACATAGACACAAGGAAGGGAACATCACAGGCCAGGGCTTCTCGGGGGGTGGGAGATAGGGAAGGGATAGCAGGGTGTGTGGGGATTAGGGAGAGACAGCATTAGGAGAAATACTTAATGTAGACAACAGAGTGATGTATGCAGCAAACCACCATGGCACGTGTATACCTGTGTAACAAACCTGCAGGTTCTGCACATGTACCCCAGAACTTAGAGTATAATAGTTAAAAAAATTTGTGTTTGAGATCATAAGAGCAGTCAAAACAAAATCGAAGTATAGAAACAAAGACAGATGGGCTTGATATGAACAAGCCACTGGAATAAGATTTAAAGCCAAAATCACGAGTTTTAATTTCATAACTAGAAGTTAGGATTAGAAAGAATGTGTAATGTGATGATCATGCTGCCCAAGGAAGATGACTTCATTTGTCTATTTGGTGAACAGTTTCTGAAGGCCTAGGAGGCTTTGAGTCCTGGGCTAAGCATGAGGGCATGGGACAATAGAAATTGTCAATGAAATAATGAAATAATAGAATTGACAATGAAATAATGTTGTCTTGAGTCATCTTCCCTAGAAGCAGAGCCTGAGACAGGAATTTGGGCATACATGATTATTAAGGCAGTTCCCTAAGAGCAAGGGAATAAGGAAAATGAAATGGGGCAGGGGAAGTAACTAAATGGTATCTGCAGGTGTCTGGCTTCAGCTTACCCCAGGGAGAGCCCTAGAGCATGAACATTACCTTAGGTAGTTCCCATGTTGAGGCAAAGGGAAAAGCCTTTTGTAATCCTCTGTCAGCCAGCAATTGGCCTGCCCCTAGGGGAAATGGGTGCATAATTTACCAACTGAGTTAGCTCTCACTGAGTAAAGAGCGATTCTTTAAAGGAATGGGCATGAGTGAGCTGTTAGTAGCCAATGCTTATAACAGTTGAAGGATGGATGACCTAGCATGGTCAAGGGGATTTGAGTAGGGCACCAGCAGCATATAAAATGTCTTCAAATTATTGAGACAGATTAACTTTGAACTCAGAACCCTGTACCTAGCCCTCAAGCCCGTCTCTGAAAGAATTACTGGTGGGCACTACTGTGGCAACAAGATACATGAATTCGAGAAAGAGGACTGTATGGCATATAAGAAAAAATGATGAAAAAGAAATGTGAAACATTTTAGGAAGTCCAACAAGTGATAATGCAGAATGCAAGAAAAAAAAGGGAAACTAAAATCCCAGATGATTACAATACGGCAGATGGTGATGAGGGACGGGAAAGAGAAAAATCAAAGTGTACTAACATTAGTAGCAGTGTATCTGGTGAGAAAGCAATAAATACAGATTAATTCTGGATCCGTATTTTGTGGTGCTGTCCAATATGGTTGTTATGGAATGAACAGTGTCCCCACAAAATTCCTATGTTGAAGTCCTAACTCTCAGCATCTCAGAATGTGACTGATTTGGAAATAGGGCCTTTAAAGAGGTGATTATGTTAAAATGAGGCCATTAGGATAAACCTTAATCTAATCTGACTGATGTCCTTAGAAGAAGAGATTAAGACTCACAAGGCAATACCAGGGATGCAGGCACACAGAGGAAAGACCATGTGAGGACACAGTGAGAAGGAGGCATCTGAAAGGCAGGGAGAGAGGCTTCAGAAGAAACCAGACCTGCCGACACCTTAATCTTGGACTTCCAGTCTCCAGAACTGTGAGATAATTAATTTCTGCTGTTTAAGCCACCCAGTCTATAGTATTTTGTTAAGGCAGCCCAAGAAAATTAACACAATAGTAGTCAGTGGCTACATGTTGCTATTTAATTTATATTAATTAAAATTAAATAAAAGTAAAACTTCAGTTTCTCCATCATATTAGACACACATTACATACTCAATAGCCACATGTAGCTAGTGGTTACTGTATAAGACAGTGTCAGAGATATAGAACAGTTTCATCATTGCAGAAATTTCTGTTGGACAATGTTGCTCCTCTAGAGACAGGTTGAAGCAATTTTTGTTTAAATATATGGGATAAAAATTTTAAAGATAATGATTAAGAAAAGAGAGATACCTGTAATCCCATACTTTAGGGGGCTGAGGTGGGTGGATTGAGATCAGCCTGGGAAACATGGTGAAACCCCACCTCTACAAAAAATACAAAACATTAGCTGGGCATGGTGGCACATGCCTGTGGTCCCAGCTATTCAGGAGGCTGAGGTGGGAGGATCACTTGAGCCTGGGAGGTCAGGCTATAATAAGCCAGGATCACACCATTGTTTTCCAGGTTGGGTGACAAGAGTACAACCCAGAGAGAGAGAAAGGAAGATGGGAGGGAGGAAGGGAGGAAAGGAGGGAGGGAGGGAGAGAAAGAAGAAAGGAAAGAAGGAAGGAAAGAGGGAGAGAGAGAGGGAAGAAAGGGAGGAAAGGAGGAAAGGAGGGAAGGAGGGAGGGAGAGAGAAGAGGGAAGGAGGGAGGGAATTACAAAGAAAAATTTTAAATAACAGTATATAAAATATGCAATTGCTAACAGAAAATGTAGTAATACTAATACAGTTTTAAATAAAATAGAATTTAAGATTAAAAACAGTAAATGGAATAGAAAACAATGTATTATAGTAATAAAAGGTACAACTAGTCATGAATATTGATAACTTTACAAATATAAAGTAAAATCAATGAAACATGAATTGTTATATTCAGAGAGAAAATTTTACACTCACAAATAGAAAATATACTCTTGGATCAGTAACAAGATGTGACATATATTAACTCACAGGTAAAATTTCAATAAATTCCAAAAACCAAGCCACATTAACTGACTGAATCACAACGGAAAGAAATTAACAACAAAAGGAAAGTCAAATATTTATTGACTTAAAAATATTTTAAACATTTTTCTAAAGAAATTTTGGGATAAAAAAGGAAATCAAAATACAATCACTGTTTAGAATGGAACAACAGTGAAAGCAGGTATTCAGTCAAGATTCTTATTTGAAAGCAATAGAAACCAACTCTTCCTGGCTTAAGCAGAGAAGGTGTTTACTAAGGACATTGGTTAGCTCACAGGACCATTGGCTTGGCAGTAAAAAGAAGCTCAGAGCCACACAGTTAAGACAATGCCTACCATAGTGCCAATCTGGAAAGACACATAACCAGCCTACAGAGGACACTGTTACTGCCACCACCAGATATCAGCAGCTGCACCTTGTACCTCTGACCCTGATAACCCTAGCTGCTGAGACTGCCCCTGACAAACCTCACTGTCATCCCAAGAACTTAGTCTTGCTGCAGATACCACTGCTGTCACTTCTGTGCATTGCTAACTCTCAATTCAAAACCAGGGTAGTATATCTATGCAACTTTGATCATGTGTCCACGTACCAGCTGCAAGAGATACTGACATTTTCAGCTTTTATAGAGAAGGCAGATTTTGCCTCCTACCAAGACTCAACAGCTCAAGAGCAAAATTAAGCCCAAAGAAGGAAGAAGAAAGCAATTAATGAAGATAAGGAGAGATATTAACAAAATAGAAAATAAAAATTAGATAGACTTGATTTTTTAAAAGACCAATAAGCTAGACAAACCGATTAAAGGGAGAGAAAAAGAAAGAGGAAGGAAAAAAGTCCCACAAATACCTTTAGAATGAAAAGGGGAACATAACTATAGATAGAGCTATTTTTAAAATGATATTACATGTAGGTTACTATTAATAATTTGAAACCTAGATTAAATGGATGTTTTTAAAGAAAATATAAAATAACTGACTCCAGACAAGATAGAAAAATCAAAGAGATCAAAAAAAAAAAAAGGAAAAATCAAGAGATCAATAACCATTGGAGAAAACAGAAATGTAATTTTAAAAGTCTATACCTGAAAAGTGATCCAGATGGCTTTACAAGTGAGTTCTAGAAAAAAAAGATGAGGGAAAATGTGATCTCTATTTCCTACAAACAATTCCAGTTTGATCACGGGAAAGCTGAAGTTTTCTAATTATTGTATAAATTAGGCATAACCAAGTTACCAAAATTGGACAGAAATTGCATGCTAAATGAAACAATTATTGACCAACATTATTCAGAAGATACAAAAATCCTAAATCAAATGAGTAAACCAAATACAGCAGTATATTAAAAGAAAATATATCATGACCAAATAAGGCTTATTGCAGGAATGCAAAGATGATTCAACATTAAGAAATCTCATTAACAGAGAGGAAAATATCAGGATTTGCCCCATTTTAATAATAATTAATATTGCAAATGCATTGTGAATACTGCAATCTTTTTGAGCTAAAGTTACATTCTAAATTTTAGAAAACTTTTTATAAGGTAGAAATAGGAAAACATTTTGTTTCTGGATAGAAGTTAAATAACTATCAGAAACACACAAGTCAGCTGGGCGCGGTGGCTCAGGCCTGTAATCCCAGCACTTTGGAAGGCCGAGGCAGGTGGATCACGAGGTCAAGCGATCGAGCCCATCCTGGTCAACATGGTGAAACCCCGTCTCTACTCAAAATACAAAAAATT